TATAATTAGTTGCTGTTCTTCTGCAATTTCCAGACAATCAAATGACATCTGCAAATACACGTCGTCGGCTGCTGAGATTGCCTTTCACAAATGTGTTAGGCGCAGCCGAAGAAGCCAGAAGAAAAAAACTGTTGGGGAAGATCCTGACAGCCATTAACGAACAGATGCACGTTTTTGGTCAGCGAACTCTGGATGCTATTATCAAGGCGGTTAGATCATCTCTGGAAGAAGTATGGCGATATTTTGGCATGAAAGAGGCTGGTAACCTATTGAAAGACGTTCCTCTAGGTCGGAGGGTGAACGCAGGTGAGTGACTTGAAGAACGGTTGTGATCATAGTCGAATAAGTGCTGACTCACAGACTGGCTTCCCGAAATTTCAAACCATTTTTTTCTTAGGTTCTATCAAACCTCATCCAATCGTCCAATGCGATGTCTTGTTGATTGGGGATCGGATTGTTCTTCGACCACCACTAGAGGAAATCCAGACTGCCTTGCGAGCCCTAAACGGATGTCTAATAACATGTACCAAATTTATTGGTAAATGGATGGACTCAAAACAGTTGCCTGGATATCGGTTGACTCCAGATCTCCGAGTGAGTCACGTATTACCCTTTGAATGTTTATCTAGAGTGTCCTTATCTTCATGATCCTGGTTTATAACCGTGTCATGCTGGGAGGCGTCGCCTTCGAATTTCCACAGGTCGTCAATGGAATGGTGGTAGGATGAATGACTGATAGCTCCCAGGTCATAATCGGATTGGTCGTCTCTGCTTCCTTTGAGAAATAGGCTTGCATTTGATCAAAGATAGATTTGTTTCGATAGTACACGGCGTGTGCCACTTCATTGTCGTCAAACTGGTACGCTTTAGGGCACTCTAGAGCAGGACAGACTGGAATGATGGTGGAACAATTTGGACTGAAAACACAGAGATGTTTTGGGTAGTTTCAAAGTTTTAAGCACTTAACTTCCCACTTTTTTTTGAATCTAGGATTGAGAAGCAACGAGTGTAGGCTGGAATCGTAAGCTAGTATTTGTTATGTCTTGTGGTGACTTGCTGAACGGTTGCGCAACTCTGTATCGGCCCTTGGCTTCCTGCTCCGTCCACTATGGTATATCAAAAGGTACGGTAGCTTCAGACAGCCCTTTATGGAAACAAAGGGAAATTATTAAAACTGTATTTATTGGGTAATCACCGAATCTTCCAGAAGGTCGTGCTAAAATCTCCATAAGGGGGTGAGAAGTGCCGACTTAAAGCTGTTCGATCCAGATTGGCTGGCATTCTGACCAATGGGGGCATGCATTGGTTTGGTCCGTAGTCCGCACGTGACACATCCGTCCGATTGATGTGCTGTTAGGTTATCAGGGTGCGGCTGGACTCCGGGCATACCTGTAACACTTTTGTCATGCTAGTGCGTGAAGAATAGCACCAGCGAAATCTCACAACAAGCAATAGGCGTAGGGGTAGCTTATTTCATCTTTTGCTGGAAGTTCGTTCTTGTTAAGGAGAAATTACAGAAACACTGGTGGGGTAACTTTCTCAAAGTGCTTTCCACTAGTTTTTTAAAGGGTGTGCAATTTTTAACGGTAAGTGGACACTAGTTATGAACAAACTACCCATGAGTTAGTCGCGAAAAATCGAGATGTGTATATCCTTGGTGCAGATCTTGGGTGTAGTGTTACTTTGCAGGAAACCTACTCGGACATCATAACTGAGCCAGAAGCCATCTTTGCCCAGCACATTTGGTTGCGTCTGCCGTTCACACTGTGTAGTATTCAAGCCAGCGATTTCAACGTCAGTGGTTGAATAAATCACAAACGCGTTGTCGAAGCTGTGCAAGGGATGTACATTTTGCCAACTGAAGAAAAGCACAAAAGCACCACACTGTTCACAAACCTGGCGTCATGTCAGCCGAACATCTCCATCCTTCGCATCGCAGGTTTTACGTAATATCAGGAAAGTAAACACTGAATGCCCCAAAATCTACTGAGACCCTCAACTCCTCTAGATGCTGACCAGACAGAAAACGCCCCCTAAATAGCATCGCATGACAGCCCTGTATCAAAGCCAGATTGCGCGACACAGCGTTGGACCAAGGTCAGACTGTGTCCCTCCACTAAAGTAGCTGGATGCAGTTGTATTTTCGTACTCACGTTCTCGAACTCTCTTGGTTGCAATAAAGCTGTTGTGTTCCTAATCGGTGAGTTATTTTTCCGGCACTAGGCACTGGAGCGGGAACAGCAGTCGGATATAACAGATAGGGGACTAAGCCAGATATAACATATCACATATGGTACGCCAATTCCATCAACAGAAGTACAACCGCACGGTCAGCTACACAATCTAAGGGCCGAACACACCACTTCGAGACTAGACACCATAGACACCATGAGACGCATGCACTTTCAACCAAGTAAGTCAAAGGTTAAACCTGGCTGATATGACCAGCCAAGCTGCTCTGACAAGGGAACACGCCGCGAAATGCACACGTTCATCGGGCCACTTAACCAAGGTACGGTGACAACCCTCACACTGGTCAGACGCCATACTGAAAATTGAGCGAGCCTCCACCAAAAAGGCCGGCCCGGGTGCATTCGGAACCGGCAGAACGACAGCTGCAGTGGATGTGTCTCGTTGGCTCTGCTCTCTCTGAACCAACACGCAGACATCTACAGTCCTCACATTGGTAACAAGGTTTCACGTCGCATTGTTTACTGCCAGTAGTTTTGCCAGAACATCCTTAGAAAAAGTGGCACACAACTGGCTGAATTCGATCAGAACACATCGCCAACTCGAACAATAATAGAAAAGATTCCGGCTTCTTACCAAAAAGTTCTTGTTCTTATGACGAAAAACTGATTTCCTCTAAAAGAGGCTACCGTACCCAACCAAAGTTGTCGTTGGTCGTTTATACAGTCTATACAGTTTATGCGGTCAAAAAAGTTAAGTAGTGACTGAATAACATAGTGAACAGCTCCGAATAAATTTATAACAAAACGGTGTTTCGAACATCTTTGGGATAAAAAAAGAATCCAGCCCCCTTTCGCGATCTCCCCAAGACTGAAGGGTTGTAGTAAGTCCCTCAAATGTGTATTCTAAAGGGTAATCACGTGAACCAGAACTCAGTTCAGTTAGTTGAGCCATGTTTTTATAAAGTTGTCCGATTAGCAGTTGAAATAGTGTTGGCCCTTCGATGCACAGCTGATGCGAACTCGAAGGAAGCATGAAGGTTGATATACAGGGTGTCTCATAATAAACGCAAAAAGTAATACTCATGTTAAAACTTTAACATTAAAACAAACATTTATTATTTTTTGTGCGGACACACATGCATTATGGATGTTTACTACAAACAAACTGGCATTACAAAAAATGTTGAAAAAACCGCCCCGTTCTTTTATAACAAGTTGGAGGTGGGATGTGAGACGCAGCATGTTTAACTTCTTGAACCCTCACTCGTGCAGACTACACTTCAATTCTTGCTCTTTACTGCACCAAATTCTTCGGCTTATATTAATGATATACGCGAGCCTTGATGAAGGTGTCGTCTCATAATACGATGCACGCTGGCGCGGGGAATGCCGGTCAACTGAGACATCTCAGTTATTGACGAAGATGCCATGGCGCTCTGGGACGGCATTCTAAAATCGGCGCTCTTTCATCACTCAGAGTCTTTCCCCCTTTGCCAGGAAAATCCAATGCAGATCCAGTGGAATCAAATTTCGCAATCAAGCGTGTAATGGTCGACACGGTGAAAGGATCTTTGATAAGACCATGTTTGGTTCTGTAACCACGAAGTACAGCGGTGGCGCTTTCACCAACTTAATAATAGAGTTTCACAATTTCAATGCGCTTACTGATACATATCGTAAACAGAAAAATTTTCAACACTTGCATACAAAACCCCTTGGTATGATTACTAACAATGAAAAATTTTGTTATCTTTTCTTTAACTCGTTACGTTCAATTAACAAATTAAATTTTGCGTTTATTATGAGACATCCTGTTGCCCAAGCATGATCAGGGACAACAGGAGAGTCAGACTTTTCGATCACTAGTTTCGTTCCGTAACCAAACTCGAGATTTCCCATTGCCATCTGAGAATGGCATCACTGCCTGAGTTTTGCGACCGAATTTCAGTTTCTGATTTTAATTTGAATAGAGCTTGGTGGCGCGTATGCCAAGAATAAACTCGACGTCACGTGCCAAGACGGAGACACTTGGAATGTCCGAACCCAAAAAGGAGGTTTCTCTATACGACAGAAGTTCCCTCATTTTGATGCAGTCCGCAGCTTCGTTTTTGGATTCGAAATCTCGATCTCGGGAAGACGAAAAAATAGTGAGTGAAAGTTGTAGGAACTGTGTTGCTAACCAAATTATTCTGGTCGTCCACTAAGACTGACTAAGACTACCAAGAAAATATTACCGAAGCTTTATGGAACAGTGATAGCCGTTTCCTCATGAATTTACTGGAAAAAATTGAATTCTGCCAATGAAATTTTCAATTTCCGCTTTATCTTCATCAGTGTCTAAACTTGCATATCACTAGACTTTAATCGATGTACTAAAACCTCAAACAAAGCTACGAAAGGGTCGGAAACAAGTGAGATCTAGGTGTGAAACCTGGATGGTTGATATTTCGAGGAGGTCTGACTATTGGTGATCTGAGCCCTGTCCAAATGATAAATCCCATAAAGGACAAAGTTTGACATCCAGGTGAACTTCAGTCGTTCTGCGAACCGACTGGAAACAGTATTCTAAAACGGCCAACCAAGTGCTCAATTGTATGATCTCTATACACTTATCTAGTGAGTCCCACCATAGGAGGGCGACCTTATGCAGTAGAGCTTTTTGGGATCCGATCTTGGAATTTCTTGAAACATGTAGGGTAAGAGGAAGTTCCACCCATCGAAAAGGCAAACTCATGACTAGCTTAAGAATCGGTGGGATACCTTATCGGATAACTAGAAAAGAACGATCAGTTAGCGATGAAATGTACAGCGGGTCCTGATAACACCAGCGACGATAGCGGTAGTGACAGTAACTTCCGAGATCAATCAAAAGCATTCTCTTTTCTAAATAATCCTACTTCAGATAATAAATGATGATACAAAAATAATTACAATGCCTGCCCGTTCGCGCGCACCACGAGGTCAGCGTTCTCACTCTCCAGGCTCAGCGGGTTTGTCTATACCAACGCTGGCGTATTTGTGAAGCGCACCAAAAGTCACCTATTCGTACCAATATTAACGCCAGTCCAACTGTTTATCTCTGTTTCAGGCCAGCGGAGCACGCAGTAACAGTAAGTAGCCCAGTGTCTGATATAGAATTTTCCCAAACACCACTGTTGCTGGCCCAGTTTCGTGGTGTACGGTTCAACGTTCGATCACGTGAACAGGTCAACATACGGACAGGTTTTCACATATCATGTAATTGACTTTTAACTGGTTACTGCACACATAATTTCTTTGGCTAAACAATTGATTACAACAATGTCAGTCAGTTTCAGTTTGCTGGTAACACTAGAAATCTGTGGGGGGGGGGGGGGAA